GGAGAAAGATATGCCATGTTCACACTAATCCAAAGAAAGCTGTAGTAACTACGTTAATTTCAGACAAAGCAGACGTCAGAGCAAAGTAGATTAGCAGGAGCATTACGTAACGATAAAGGGGAGGAGGCGGGAGATGTAGGGCCTCTGTTCTTTCTGCTCAATTTTTCTGCAAACCTAAAACTGCTCTAAAAATATAAAGTTTATTAATTTTTTCAGGAAGAAAGAAAAGAGGAATTCGGCAGAGGTCTTGGCCTGGCAGAACTAATGGCGAGCAGCCACCGAGAGCCCAATTTCAGTTCAGTCTCAGACTGGTTTTTGTAGACTTCTGCACCACTGTAGACGAGCGAGGCGCATTGCTTCTCTGGCAGAACGGTTCCGGGGGAGTTCTGGATGTGACTTCACGTATATGGCCACACAGCACTACAGACTGACCCAAATATTCTGTCATTGCAATTTGTTCCTACAAACCCTTTCGGTAGTGATTAGGAACGCTAAAATATTTGAGTTTGCCTCTTTGACTGCAATCTTCACACTTCACCAAATGGAAGTGTTTGTTGAATCGTTAAGTCAGACCACATCTACTGCCTCGTAGGCTGAAGCCGAATTGGGCTGGCAGTGGGAACACTGCAACGTCAGTCCCTTTGTCTCTAGGGTCCTTTAACTTCCAGTGGGCCCTCTCCTCCAGGAACCTTGCATCCTCAGGACTCCCTGCTGCCCCAGCCTCTCACTCGCTGGGGAGGTGCTGCCCTCAGTACACCGCCAGTGACTGCCTGGTCACATGTCATCTCCTGCAGTCTGCAAAACAGCCTCTGGGGCATGTCTTACTGCTAAGCCCATTTTTCAGGCATTACGTTCTTTCAGGGGGCCCTGGTGGCGCAGTGGTTAAGTGTTGGGCTGCAAACCAAAAGGTCAGCAGTTCAAATTCAGCAGCTGCTCCTTAGAAACCCTGCGGGGCAGTTCTACTCTGTCCTATAGGGTCACCATGAGTCGGAATCGACGCCGTTTTGTTCTTTCAGCATTTGTGCAGGGAGCAAGGGAAGGAAGCCTGAGCTTCTGCGTCTGTGCCTCCTACCGATGCTCTTAGCATGGCTGGTTAAAGTCCGTTAAGGGATGGACAGCTCAGAAAAAGAGAGGATGAGAACAGAATTGTGCATAAGTCCAGCCAGGGAAATATTTTTAGTTTTTTGTGGTTTTTTTTTGCTTTGAAACTGTTTGTCAGAGAGATTTTATTCATCCTTCAGTAAGAGCTTAGCCTTTGGACAACTAAAAAGCAGGCTATTTCACACAGTAGGTAGTAAACATAGGGCAATTCATCATCCCTGAAGGAAACACAGCAAAAATATAAAGAAAATTGAGGATAACTGAAGGAATGGTTAATGAATCCTCATTTGAGACTAATATCTTTGGAACTGTTCTCAGTAAATCCCTGGTAACCAGCTCTGTCTAGAGAAAGGAAGAGGAGGACGAAGACTGGGAAAGTTCTAGTGTATTAATTACTGATTCTAATAGATTATGGAGAACTTGGAATGGAAATCATGAGGCATGCGGCTTCTGTGTTATTTACAGATTGTTCTTACCATGTTAAGTAGGAAGGAAAGCAAACAATGTTGCAGGGATACTCCCCATATTCCCCAACCTCCAGGTACAGCAAACCCTTGTGAGGCAGATGCTGACAGTGCCCCTCCCGTATCCATGGACCTTTTGAGATTCTTGGCTGATTTCTAACTACCAGTGTCTGCATCTCTGTGCCTACAGCCTCTATTCCCTGCAACTGCAGAAAAGTGTGCTGCCTACTTATCTGGCAGACCAGAAGCAGCAAGGAATTGACACTCCCCACCCAAACCCAGACCCTCAACCAACAGCTCTCAGAAGTGGATATGTATAAATATCCTAGTTCCTTGCCCTTCGGGTAGAGTGATTCTGAGGTGTGTGTTCTGCATCATTTCCCACAGTTGTCCTGCAGGATTGAGCTCTATACCCACTGTGGTAGCTGGCTTGATGACACACCCTTCATTGACTATCTTCCCTTCCCTGTATCACTGTCACACTTTATACCAGTGTTTCCTGCACCTCCCAAATAAACTACCTGCCCATGAATCCTTGTCTAAGGGTCTGCTTCTAGGGCAACCAAACTAAGACTCCTTGAGTGTGGACTCTCCTGTAGGCAGCCCTGGTGTCCCAGTCATAAAGAGAATACTAGGGAGACAGATGCAGGGTGTAAGTCAGCATTCTATTTCTTGATGTTCAAATTACTTGGAAATTACCTCACCTAGATGTACTTTATTGCTTTTTTGGTGACGTTGAAGGAGCTGGAAGTTAGATGGAATACATGTTGGTGAGAAAAAGTTGTGAAGAAATCATTCTTGAACAAAGTAGAGTTCTGAAGAATGGTCTGGGTTGCCCATATGCAGGGATGATATTCAAATATTTAACAACTCAAACAGCATGAGCCTTGATCAATCACAGCAGACATTGACCAATGTTCTCCAAAGCCACCATACCCTCTGCCCATTAGGTCTCATACAGGGACCCCAGGCTGGCTTGAGAGGCTACTGGGTAGAGAATGGTTTACCTGGCTTTCTCCAGGAGGGCTCAGAGATTCTCTCTCAGAAAGAAAAAGAATGAGTAGAAGCATTCATTGACCATTTCAGAAGAGAGCTGGGGCTAAAGGTCCAGCAGGGGCCACATCTGTAGGGACTTTGTAAGCCCTGTACTCCAACATATTATTATTTATGTCTTCTCCTGACTATGAAGTAAAACCACAAACAGCACCTGTTTCCTTCTAGAGAATTGCCTCTTCTCCATTGTGGGTAGTCTGGGCAAGACCAAAAAGCAAAGTAGCCAAGGCATAGGTGGGTGTCTGACTCAAGATAAGCCAATCAGATTCTCTCTCTGGGGACTAAGACTCTGAAACAGAGTGGCAAAACGATGGGGTAGAAAGACTTACTTGTCTGACAGAGACTGGAGGAACCTCCAAGACTACGGTCCCTGGACACCCTGCTAACTCAGAACTGAAGCCATTCCCAAAGTCCACCTTTCAGCCAAAGATTAGACAGGCATATAAAACAAACAATAACACATGTGAGAACGTGCTTCTAAGTTCAATCAAATAAAGGAGACCAAATGGGCATCACCTGCCCAAAAGCAAGACAAGAAGGCAGGAAGAGACAGGAACTGAACAAATGCGCACAGGGAACCCAGGGTGGAAAAGGGGAACGTGCCATCACGTTGTGGGGCTTGCAACCAATGTCACAAAACAATATGTGTATGAAATTTTGAATGAGAAATTAACTTGAGCTGTAAACTTTCACCTAAAGCACAATAAAATTAAAGAAAAAAAAAAAAAGAATGGGGGAGAAAGCCCTTGGAGTTCATGTTTGCAGTGAGGGTCCTAATTTTTTCTTGCAGTGAGGGTTCTGTAAAGTATAGTCACACGCTTCCTGCTTCCCAGACACCCAGAGTTGCCTGGTTCCTGCCCATGTCCTTGCCCTTCCTACTGAGTCTGTGAGCCTTGATACCCTTCTAGTACTTCCCCTTTCTTGCTTAACTTTGCCAGAGTTGGTTAGTTTTGCTTGCAACCAAAGAACCATCACAAATGCAAGGCATATTTATCTTCAGCCATCTTTATGGGGAGATGACCCCCTAGGGAGAGAGTATATGGCAGCAACTACTGAAAATAGAAAAGGAACCAGCCCCTGGACCCTCAGCAAGAAAGAGGAAGACGACATGGGAAGTTGGTGGGGGCCTGTGGAATGTTGTGTACATCATTTGAGAAAGGTCAGCTTTATCACCGTCATTGCTCAGTTACCCATGAAGCCGGATTTCCATCCCTAGCTTCTCCATTGCCCCATAGATTGACTGGCTTATGAATCAAACACTTCTCACAAGCAAAGCCCCAGTGGGCAGATACTGGGAAAAGGACAAAGGCTCAGGTCAGTCTCAGTTAACTTCTTAGCAGTTCTCCGAAGGCAGGGAGCAGGTTGGCATTGAAATTATGGACTAAAATGAGGTCTAGCTGGAATATGTAGACTTCACTTATGCTGCTATTCACATTTGTTGTTGTTCTTAAGTGCTGTCAAGTTGGTTCTGACTCATAGCGACCCTACGGACAACAGAACGGAACACTCCTGTCCTGCACCATCCTCACAATCCTTATTATGTTTGAGTCCATTGTTGCAGCTGCTGTGTCAGTCATCCCATTGAGGGTCTTCCCCTTTTTCACTGACCCTCTACTTTACCAGACACGATGTCTTTCTCCAGGGACTGATCCTTCCTGATAGCATGTCCAAAGTATGTGCGAAGTAGTCTCACCATCCTTGCTTCTAAGGAGCATTCTGGTTGTACTTTTTCCAGGACAGATTTGTTCGCATTTAGTAGGAAACAATTATATATGTATGTCTCTGTACATTTCATGGGAACCATATTGGGAACTGGGTGGATTTTTTCTTTTCTTTTTTTAATGCTTATTTTCAGTAAGAAAATGGAGATCCCTGAGACTATGGCCCCCAGACACCCTGCTAACTCAGAAATGAAGCCACTCCTGAAGTCTACCTTTCAGCCAAAGATTAGACAGGCCTATAAAACAAACAATGACACATGTGAGGTATGAGCTTCTTGGTTCAGTCAAGAATACAGGACCAAATTTGCAACACCTGCCGAAAGACAACGAGGAGAAGGCGGGAAGGGACAGGGAGCCTGGATGAACACACGTGGGGAACCGAGGGTGGAAAGGGAAAGGGGAGAGTGCTGGCGCAATGTGGGGATTGCAACCAACGTCACAAAACAGTTTCTGTATAAATGTTTGAAAGAAAAACTAATTTGCACTATAAACTTTCACCAAAAGCACAATAAAATAAAATAAGAAAATTGGGAAATAAATTTTCTCTCACAAGTGCAACCAGTCCTTTGCCAGTGTTGGGTAGAACACATTCATATCAAACCCTCCTGAGAAGAGAGGCTGTCTGAGCACCCTGCCATCTGATCCTCCCACACAGCTTGCCCTAGAAGCCATGTCTTTTGTAGAGTTTAGCTCGGGCAAAAAGATCATTGACAAAGTCTGTGTCTATGTCCACAGGGGTGACTGTGGTTTTGATCCCTGACTTAAAGGCTGAAAGACCACCTGAAATGAAACACAGTGGTTTAGATCCAAATATTAATGCTCAGCAGAAATAAGATACGAGCATTTCCAAGGTGTCAGCCCTCCAGGCAGATCTTCTAAAGCAGGCAGTCCCAGATCTTCCATCCCCCTTTTCCCCTCTCCTCCTTGAAAACCTATACTACTCCAAGAATCAATGGAAGAATTTCAAATTTGTTTCTCTCTTCTTTTAAGACTTTGATTTTCTTTCTACAAAAGTCAGATTTGCTTCTTATATAGTCCAGACCTGGCAGAACTGGATTCTCAGCAAATATTCAGTCTGAGAATGTTTGTAACATTCTCTGTTCATTTAATAATTCACTCATTTGTCCCCTCACTCATTCATTCACTCAATAAATGTTTTCTAAACACCTACCACGTGCCAGGATTTGAGCCACACTGAGGATGGGATGCACAATGGTACCCAATATATTGGGTACATTTCTTTGCATTCTTAGTTATTAAACATATAATTGTGCTGTGCTCTGATGGCTAAAGAAAAAGACCCCTGGTCCTAATCTCTGCCCTCAAGGACCTTGAAAAAGAAAATAGAAACTGTTCTAAATTAAGGCCCTTGAAGCGCAGAGGGAGAGAAGTTAAAACATATGCATCACGAGTCCATAGGAGGTAGACTCAATAGGAATTGGTGTTGGTTGTCTAGGAAGAGAGAAGGAGCCAGAAAAGCCTAAGAAAATGATCTGGTTTTCTGGCTGGGATGACTGGATCTATTATGGTGCCTCCACAGACACGGAAAGTGCAAAAACACAACACATTGTAGAGAAACAGAGTGAGTTAATTCAGTCTGGGAAGTGCTAAACTTGAGGGGTCTGTGGTCAGCCAGGGAGAGATCTCCTCATGGAGGACATATCGTGGCACCTGAAGCCCCAGTGGCATTGAGAGTGCTCACAGGATAAAAATTTGTTCAGACAATTCACAAAGTGATTAATAGTTTCTTGTAGCTGAAAAAAGCCTATCAGAGGAAGGCAAAACATACTGTTTCAAACTATCTCATCAACTCTTAAGGCATCCTTCATCGTTCAATGACCAAGGAGAGATGCACCAAGAACCTCAGCATCTTGCAGAAGCAGAGATAGAAGTCAGGGAAGGAAGACCACGGAACGCAACTCAGTCATTCAGAGAGCACTAACACAGCCTTTCAACAGCTTCTCCCAGACCCACTGCCCACCCAGGGAGGCCCAGGACACACCTGGACTTCGGGGCTCACTCACTGCTCATTTAAACAAAGCACGAAAAATAAGACCTACCTTTGACATGTTGAGCCACATTCCACGTGGGGAGTTTTTTCTGGATTGCCTTAATTCTGTCTGTTAGAATCCCAACACCCTGAAAAAGGTGCTCTTTGCTGTCCCAGGCACCAACGGGGTCATGAATTTTCTTATCAAGCTAGAAAATTCAGATAGTAATGTCAGCAGCTGGATGAGGCAACACGTTTTTCTGATGTGCCTTATTTCCCCTCCTTGTGTTCATTTTCACAGATACTGTCTTCAGCCTCTTTCCTTGATCCGCAGAGTCAAGTCTGCTATCCTTCCCTCCACAGAGAAGAGAGTCAGAGAAACAAAGGTTTGGGAGAAGTGAAGATGGCACAGTTTTAGTTAATCATTCATATATATATATATATATTTACCTTTATTTATTTTTTATTTATCTATATATATGAATATGAAAAATGAGCCCTGATGACACATTGGTGAAGCACTCAGCTGCTAATCGGAAGGTTGCAATTCGAACCCACCCAGCAGCTCTGCAGGAGAAAGAGCTGACGATCTGTTTCCATAAAGACTACAGCTAAGAAAACCCTATAGGACAGTTCTACTCTGTTACATGGGGTCACTACAAGTTGGAGTTGACTCCATGGCACCCAACAACAACAACAACACATATACGAAAAAGATGTTTATAAACAAATAACTAGCACACAAAGACATCCACGTATTTGCCATCAAAAATATCCAGCTAATTGAGGTAAAAAATTTCTTTCTAACTGGGAAGTCTAGAAATCTGGGTTTCTACAGACAATTTAAAATAGAGCCTGGAAGCAAATATACAAATTATTTGGATGCCCTTCCATTTGCCTAAAGAAACAATTGGTTCAAGTAGAGCTTACTTATACAGTGTTTTGATCCACATGGATGCCATCAACTACTCCATCAACCCCATGAGGACTCCATTAATAATAGTACCATATATAAGATATTCTCAATGTAGCTACATTAGATATTATTTATTTCAGAATTATAGATATGAGACTCACAAAAGACTTTTTCAAAGCTATCCAAAACTGAAAAACTTTGAATAAGATACCAACGATGTGTCACAGAAATCCGGGAACAGTGCTGCTGGAGCATCTATAGCCAGGCCCCACGGTGTTTGGGGGCCTGGAAACACTGCAAATGGCTTTCTACTTTGAGTTGAGCTTCTGCAAAGAAGGATGAAGTAGGGTCGACTTAAAGTCTCTAGCTAAGTACCTGCATCAAGCCCAATTTCAGTCCACTGTGGTCCCAGCCATTCTGCAGGATGGCTCCACCATGGCTGTCTCTGGAGATGGTGGCTGCAATGAGAGCTGGGTCCACGCAGTGCCTTTGCCCGACCTCTTTGATTATAACCTGCTAAGGCGTTGTGGCCCTCAAATCCATCTCAGCAAACATCTCAGAACCACGGATCCCTGAAGTCAATAAAAACAAAACAAAACTCTTTACTCCAGAAGATAATCTTTTTCCAAAGTGCAAGTTAGCCACAGCCCCTGACCATTGCCCAGGGGTTGGGGCAACCATTTTAAGACATTCTTTTCATCTCTGACTACAGAAACCCAGACAGGTTCAGAACCCCAGATGGGTGCCTCTTTTCTCTCTTTCTTCTCTTTTCTGCCACATTGATGCACTGGGAAAACTCTTGGCCTAGCTGTCAACCAAGGTTTAGTCTGGCTTTTCCACTGTGTAGCTCTGTGCCCTTGGGATTCTCTCCACCTTTCTGAGTCTCAGTGTTCTGATATGCAAATTGAGGGCATGGGATTAGATGTGACTTCTGTGGCTGCTTCCGGCTCTGATACTACGAAAGTGATAACATCATAAAGAAGACTTTAGAACAGGATTGCAAAAGAGAAGAAATACAAACAGCAAGTTTTAAGTGTCCTTAAAAAGCTCATTCTGTAACATTACGTAAAAATAACGACAAACAAAAAACCAAGCTGAGATATAACATTTTATTTAATCAATAATCTCAATCCATAGAAATAAATAGATCTGGACAAGGATTGGAAAGAATGGGAAAAATTAAAAGATGTGGTTTTTTTATGTCAGCCAGGTTTCTGTTTTATCCTAATGTTTAATTTTTATATCATTCTTATAATAATAATTATGCCTTTAAAAAGAAACTCCTTTCAAAAAAGACCAGATTTGCTGGCCTAGGGGAGACTGGAGAAACCTCGAGAGTATGGCCCCCAGACACCCTTTTGGGTCAGTGGTGAGGTTACCTCCAGGGTTCACTGTTCGGCCTGGGAGTGGACAGCCCTGTAAGACCAAATGAGACTAACGAGGTGCAGGGGTCCAGTGACAAGGGCCAGAAGGCAGAAGGGGACAGGGAAGCTGGTGATGGGGAACACAAGGTTGAGTGGGGATGTTGTTGATGTGTTGTGAGATTGTTGGCCGTTGTTATGGGGCAGCATTTGGAGTGGCTGTTGGATGAGAAACTGTTTTGTTCTGTGGGCCTTCATCTTGAGTGAGAGTAGCAGCACGGTTGGAGGAGCGTGGTCAACGTCGCTGAGCTGTGTATGTAGAAATTTTTGAGGCGGTGTATCTTTGGCTATCTGTATTTTCACCAAAAAAAAGGAAGGTTGAGAGTTTGGAGGGTTGATATGTTGTGGGGTTGTTAGCCAATGTTGTGGGACAACGTGTGTGCTACTGTTGCATGAGAAACTATTTGTTCTGTGGGCCTTCACCTGAAGTACAATAAAATATATATATAAAAAAGAAAAAGAAACTCCTTTCTAAGAGAGAATCTGGAAACGATGAAAGAGGGAAAGTCAAGCCTTTGCTTTAATTTTCACTTACCACAGTTAATCAAGCTGTCTGTATCACAGGAAGCACCAGAGGCGTCCATGGTCATGATGTCCCCATAGCACCCGTGGTACAAACGACGATGCGTGAGGGTTCTTCATGTGAGTAAAAGGGTATGAGCCCCTGGAAGTACCTAGAGGTAGAATGGTAATTCACATGAAGCCTGTGAGAAACTATTGCTTGCGTTGCTATTGTAAACATCACTAAACCAAAAACGAAGGCCATAGACTGGTTGCTCCCAAAGTCTCTTTTTGCCAATCTTGGCTTATCAGACAAAACAGAACAGATGATTCCCCCTCCCACTCTACTTCCACTGTCAAAACATAACAAGACAAAACAAACAACAAAAAAGAGCACTTAATTCTAAAACACTGTGCAAAGTATTAGGAAAATCAATTATTATAGGTTTCAAACATATTTGTTGCAATCTTGATCAGAGAAAAAATTGCCATAAGTTTTAAGCAGGAATCTTGAGAGAAATTTTAAGACATCTTCCTGGATTAGTTGTTTGCCTGAAATGTGGAGCCTTCTGCTCTTTGTTCCCCATTCCAATGTCACATGATCCCATACCAATGTGTTACATGATCTCATACCACCATATCACATGATCTTGATGGGTGAACTTGGCTCCTTGCTCCAATTCCACTTCTGACAAAAAGGTGCAAGATCTCCTACCTACTCTAGGAGATCAATACAAAGCCAGGTAGTAGCAATATGGATGCTAGTTTCCCGAACTTTCTGAGGGGACAGGAAACAAGGACTGGGCTAGGTATGAAAATTTCTTCAGGGATGGAGTATCTTTCTTCATGCTTATGTCCAAAAGAAGAGGTGAAGCACATTGTGCAGCCCCAGAAACAGGAAATGAACAGGTGCTCCTGAAATGGTCACAGCACATTTCCTACAGGGCAGGAAGGAAGTGTGGCATGGATCCTCCCACAAGTATGAGAAATTTCTAAGACTGCAGACAATCCTTCCACATATCCACCAAGTGAAGAGAGGTGTGAGGAAGCCTGAGCAGGAGACAGGGAAGACAGCAGCACTGAGTCAAACAATTTTGTAGGCTCCCTGACAATGAATAAATCACAACTCCTAGGAGAACATCCCTTCATGAAGCTGATCTCTGCACTGCTCACTACATCCACTTCTGTCCTGCCTGTCTTCCTGCCTGAAAGAACAGACTGCCTTTAAGTGACCTGCAGCCTTTCATTCTGGGGAAGAGGGGTGGTGATATTCTGAGTCAATAAATGATTCCTACCTGGACTATTAGGAAAATGACTCATGGAGGGCCTGTTCCTCCACCACCATCAACAGTCTAGGCCACTGTTTAATAAGAGATCTCACATGGGTCCAACTCCTCTGAGGTGGCCTTTGGAACACATAGGCTATCACCAGTGACAGTGTCAACATCACATTGACATGGAGCTCATGGCCCACCCCAGTGCAGGGTGAGTGGGTCTCCTTATGTGAGGCTTCCGGGCTAAATGTGATGAGAAGGTTCAAGAAAGGGAGAGGAGGTGGAGGAAAAATGGCAAGTTAGGTAAAAATATGGAGGCTGAAGCTGTCCCTGGATCTCCTGGAGAATAAGAGTGATAATAAGATATTTGACGTACTATTGAATGGGAATAATATTTTATTTTTCTCCCTGTTTTCTAACATCGGGGCTTCGCGTCCTCCTAGGTATGAGGGTCTCGTGTCCAGGCCATCTGCAACTTAAACAATTGGTTTTCAAACAAATGTGAATTGTTCTCCTTTGCTCAAATTGTGAGAAGACAAATTATATTTATTTAATACCCACCATAGTCAGGTTGGAGCCCTGGTTGCACAGTGGTTAAGAGCTACAGCTACTAACCAAAAAAGTCAACAGTTTGAATCCACCAGTCACTCCTTGGAAGCCCTATGGGGCGGCTCTACTCTGCCCTCTTGGGTCGCTATAAGTCAGAATCAACTGGACGGCAACCAGTTATAGTCAGGTTCCTATGGACACCATCTCATTCAATCCTCTAGCAATCCCATGAAGTAAGTATTATTTCTCATTTTAGAGATGAAGAAACTGAGACTCAGAAAAGTTAAGCAACTTGTCAAAGGTGGCACAGTTAGGACATGGCAGAGTCAGGATTTGAACCTAGGTCTGGAAGATTCTAAAATCTCTGCTCTTCTGTTGAATCAGAGGTTCCAGCACTATAGACTGATAAGCCCTGGGGGGCAGTTATTTCAGCAGGTCCAAATCAATTTGCAAGCAGAGTGTTGTCTGTGGCCTGAATAGATTATGACATTAGCAGGTATTTACTGTTGCCTTTCAAGTGTTTGTAGGTACCATTGCAATTTCTAAAGTACAAATTAATAAGAGTTGACTGAATCCACAGTGCCTTTGTGTCATTTTATATTTTCTCCACCAGTAATAATTGTAGTTAACATATACTGAGCTTACACAGTAGTTAAGGGGCATGGCCTACATCTGAACACAGGTTTGTTGAACTCTAAAGTCTAAGGCTTAATTACTACACTCTACTGACCCAGAAAACGGTTAAGTGTGAGTACTATCATACAAGGATCTTAGAAATTTTTTGACACTTAAATTTACTGAATGATCTTCTGTCTCTTCCCAGGGTGCCAAGAGTGACTATGCATGTGAGTTGTATTGATGTTGCCAGAAGGGGCTTAGGGGACTTTGGCACTGGTCAAAATCTCCATCTGTCCCCCAAGCCTCCAAAATAAATTATAATCTGTGTGAAAACACACGACTTATTCATTGCAGATACCTTTTTTCAACAACATAAATGGCATCTATACACATGGACTTTGCTGGATGGAATAGACAGGAATGAAATTGACTACATCTGTGGAAAGACATGATGCAGAAGCTCATCGTCATTCAGAACAAGGCCAGGGGCCAACCATGAAACAGACCATCAATTGCTCATATAGAAGTTCAAGTTGAAGCTGAAGAAAATTAAAATGCATCCAGGAGAGCCAAAGTATGCCCTTGAGATTATCCCATCTGAGTTTAGAGTCCGTCTCAAGAAAAGACTTAACACATTGAACACTAATGCCGAATACCAGACGAGTTGTGGAATGACATCAAGGACATCATAGATGAAGAAAGCAAAAGGTCATTAAAAAGACAGAAAGAAAGAAAAGACCAAAATGGATGTCAGAAGAGACTCTGGAACTTGCTCTTGAACTTGGAGTAGCTAAAGCGAACGGAAGAAATGATGAAGTAAAAGAGCTGAACAGAAGATTTCAAAGGGCTGCTCGAGAAACAAAGTAAAGTATTGTAATGAAATGTGTAAAGACCTGGAGTTAGAAAACCAAAAGGGAAGAACATGCTTGGCATTTCTCAAGCTGAAAGAACTGAAGAAAGAATTCCAGCCTCGAGTTGCAATATTGAGGGATTCTATGGGTGAAAAATTGAACGATGCAGGAAGTATCAAAAGAAGATGGAAGGAATACACACTCACTTTACCAAAAAGAATTGGTCGATGTTCAACTATTTTCAACTGGGCCAATAAGTAACATCATGATAAACAGAGAAAATATTGAAGTTGTCAAGGATTTCATTTTACTTAATCTGTAATCAAAACCCATGGAAGCAGCAGTCAAAAAATCAAAAGATGTATTGCATTGGGCAAATTCGCTGCAAAAGACCTCTTTAAAATGTTAAAAAACAAAGATGTCACCTTGAAGACTAAGGTGCGCCTGACCCAAACCATGGTGTTTTCAATTGCGTCATATGCATGAGAAAGCTGGACAATGAATAAGGAAGACTGAAGAAGAATTGACGCTTTTGAATTGTGGTGTTGGCGAAGAATACTGAATATACCATGGACTGCCAAAAGAACGAACAAATCTGTCTTGGAAGAAGTACAGAATGCTCCTTAGAAGCAAGAATGGCGAGACTTCGTCTCACATACTTTGGACATGTTATCAGGAGGGATAAGTCCCTGGAGAAGGATATCATGCTTGGTAAAATAGAGGGTCATCGAAAAAGAGGAAGATCCTCGACAGGATGGTTTGACATAGTGGCTGCAACAATGGGCTCTTAGCATAACAATGATTGTGAGGATGGCGCAGGACCAAGCCGTGTTTCATTCTGTTGTGCCTAGGGTCTCTGTGAGTGGGAACCGACTTGACAGCACCTAACGACAACATGCAAGTCATCCTACGTCTTAGGCTGGCTTTGAAAGTGACGTTTTCCTCTTTATTTTGCAGTTGGCAAGTAGTGGAAGATCTTTCTCATGTGTTTGCCCCTATGCCATTTTCATATCGACAAGGACGATATAGAAAGAGATTTCGTTTGCTTGTGTGATTGTGTGCTTGCTTCCTTGCTGGTCTCAGCCATAGTTCCGAGTCAGGCAGGGTGTGTCGTGGCAGGTATGAGTATTGCCAATGAAAGGTTTTAACTATACACATGTAAAGAGTCGCCCCAATCCAAAAAGAATAGAAAGCAGGGACTCAAACAGATACTTGTACACCAGTGTTCATAGCAGCATTATTCACAATACCCAAAAGGTGGAAACAACCCAAGGGTCCATCAACAGACGAATGGACAAACAAAATGTGGTATATCTGTACAATGGAATGTTGTCGTTAGGTCCAATTGAGTTGGTTCCCACTCATAGCAACCGTATGTACAACAGAACGAAACACTGCCTGGTCCTGTTCCATTCTCACAATCATTGCTATGTTTGAGCCCATTGTTGCAGCCACTGTGTCAATCCATCTTGTTGAAGGTCTTCCTCTTTTTCGCTGACCTTCTACTTTACCAAGCATGATGTCCTTTTGCAGGGACTGGTCCCTCCTGATAACATGTCCAAAATCTCGCCATTCTTGCTTCTAAGGAGCATTCTGACTGTACTTCTTCTAAGGCAGATCTGTTCATTTTCCCGGCAGTCCATGGTATACTCAGTATTCTTGGCCAACACCATAACTCAAAGGCATCAATTCTTCTTCTGTCTTCGTTATTCATTATCCAGCATTCACCTCAAGGTGAATGGACTATTATTCAGCCCTACAAAGGAATGAAGTCCTGACACGTTACAACATGCATGAACGTTGAAAACAGTATGCTAAGTGGAATAAGCTAGTCACAAAAGGACAAATATTATAATTCCACTGATATCTCAACCAAAAACTAAAC